CAAGGGTCCAGAATTCACTGGAATACTTACATATGAAGAGGATATGTACGATATGTAATAATGCCTCTATAGAATTGGAGTGTGTGAAATAATTGGCAGCAGTATGTTCTGAACTAGTCTATACTTCATACTTAGTTGTGTAAGAATAATGTTGAATCCTTTTGATATTATATTTGTTCCAAAAAAAAAAAAAATGACACATCCTTGATTCATAAAATGTCAAAAATGTGTAGTATGCAAGTATAAAATGTCAGTCTTGTTCTTCAGGTAAGTGATTTTAAGCTTTTACTTGAGATACAATTTTTTTATCTTTAGACAAATTTAGTTTTCATGATGTGTGATCCTTGCAAAGATAATTGGAAAAGGAATGTATACAGGGTGCTGACACCAAAGCTTCAGGGGCTTTGTTCTTATGCAAGAAACCTTTTTACATTTGTTTATTTTGTGTGCAAGAAAAAATGAGTTAATTCATTGGCTAGTGATTCAGGACATCTGCTTCTGGTTTAGGACAAAGTATAATTACTCTTTTAATATTTGTAGTGCGTCGTGAATATGGAGTGGTCGTTCTGATGTGTTTGTTACGTGGTTTCCTTTATATTTTGTTGTGTGGTATTTATTTTAAAATTTTCCTATTGTGGAAGAACTTGAGTAATTCAGTATTATGCCTGTGGATCATTATTATTTTCATTGAACATATCTTTGGAACAGTCTGGAATTGTTAATTTGATGTAGATTTTGGGGAAAAGACTGCTGATGGCTGTTCCATGGTATCCACCATATTTCATTCCAGCGATTATTAGTATACTCATTCTGATATTTGGACTTTTGTGAGACAACAATATGTATTCAAGTACAGTTTGTAACTAAATGTCTCCAACAAGTCCAGTCACAATTAGGTGGTTTGTGCCCCCAATGTGATCTCTAATTACAGTGCTTATCTGGCAAAATTTTTGGTTTTGTTTATCATAGATGGTCTTCACACATTAGAAGACCATTTAGAATCTACCCATTCTACATGCTTATCTTGTTGTATAATATTAGAACTTAGGCGAAAAGAAAATGATAAAAAAAATAATAAATGAAATTTTGGATGGTGGCACCAAGTTTGCACACAGGAAAGAAGAACAATTATCTATCTCAAGTACTTGCCGTCACGAATTTTGACTATAAACATACACTGAAAGAATTGAATATAAAATGGTTAGTTTGGCTTAGGCAAAGAAATGTTGACTGAATTATTAAGTTTGCCAGAATAATCTAGTCAAAATGCTGTTTGTGCCTGGCGG